TTCCCCTTACCTCTCACTCCACCAAATGAAGCTAGTCAGCCAAATGCTCCTTTTACTTCTCTATTTCCCCTCTTCTGCCTTTTATTTCTCCTTCCTCCCATCTCCCCTTTTCATTTGTGTCCTCTCTTCTACCTTCTGCTTCTTCTTCCTCCATTCCATCCATCTACCTTTCCCCCTTTTTATCTGTTCCTTCTCTTCTACCTTCTACTTCCTCATTCCTTCCGTTCATCTAACTTTCCACTCTTTCATCCGGTTCCCCTTTTCTGCTTTCCATATCTTCCTCCCTTCCACCCCTTCTTTTTCTGATCCTCCTCTTCTACTTTCTACCTTCTCTTTCCTCCCTACTGCCCATCTACCTCTCCTTTTCATCTGGTTCCCCTCTTCCGCTTTCTACTCCTTCCTTCCTTCCTCCCATCTACTTCTCTCCTTCTTTTTCTGACCCTCCTCTTCTACTTTCTTCTTCTTCCTCCCTTCCGCCCATTTACCTCTCCCCTTTTTATCCGGCTCCCCTCTTCTGCTTTCTACTCTTTCCTCTCTTCCTCCCATCTACTTCTCCTCTTCTTTTTTCTGATCCTCCTCTTCTACCTTCTACTTCTCCTTCCTCTCTTCTGCCCATCTACCTCTCCCCCTTTTTATCTGTTCCCTCTCTTCTACCTTCGTCCGTTCCTCCCTCCCCGTCCCTTCTTTTTCTGACCCTCCTCTTCTACCTTCTACTTCCTCTTCCTCTCTTCTGCCCATCTACCTCTCCCCCTTTTTATCCGGCTCCCCTCTTCTGCTTTCTACTCCTTCCTCTCTTCCTCCCATCTACTTCTCCCCTTCCTTTTCTGATCCTCCTCTTCTACCTTCTACTTCTCCTTCCTCTCTTCTGCCCATCTACCTCTCCCCCTTTTTATCCGGTTCCCTTCTGCTTTCTACTCTCTCCTCTCTTCCTCCATCACTTCTCCTCCTCTTTTCTGACCCTCTCTTCTACTTCTACTCTCCTTTCCTCTCTTCTGCCCATCTACCTCTCCCCCTTTTTTATCCGGCTCCCCTCTTCCCTCATCGTCTCGCGCTGATAGTCGTGTTCATGCATTTATACGCAGTCCTTGACCTTTTCAGCTTGCCTGTCCTGACCCTGTGGCTCCGCCCTTATTTCCCTCTGCTTCTCCCTTCTTTTCTTTTCTACTCCTCTCCCCTTTTTTTCTTTGTTTCTCGACTTCTCTTCCTCTTACTTGTACCTTAATTGTCCTTACCCCCTCTTCTGTCTTTTCTTGTTTTATTTTCTTTTTAAATCACATTTTTCTTCTTATATTTCCTTCTCTTCTTCTACGCCTTTTTTCTTCTTCTTCGTCTTCTTATTCATCAAAATTATCGTCCGTGTCTTCTATTTCCCTTATCATCTTTCTCCTCCATCCCCATTTTCTGTCCAACGTCTCATCTGCCTCACCTTGCCCGGAATAATGCGACTGCTCTTCCCAGGCCAGTCCTGTGTCGGGCACCTGGTCTATTGTTCCGTTTTATTTAATTTATTTATTTCGTCTCTTTAATTTTCGTCTCTTTTAATGTGTTTGTTTCGTTTCTCTTTTATGTGTTGTTTCGTTTCTCTTTTATGTGTTGTTTTCGTTCTTTCTTTTTCTCTTCCTTTTGTCTGTTTGTGTGTTGTGTGTGTGTGTATGTGTGTGTGTGTGTGTGTGTGTGTGTGTGTGTGTGTGTGTGGTGTGTGTGTGTTTGTGTGTGTGGTGTGTGTGTGTGCTTGTCTATCTATTTATCTGTCTATTTGTCTGTCTACATGTGTCTGCCTGTCTGTTCGTCTGTCTCTCTCCGTCTTTAATGTTTTAGGTATGTTTGTTTACCTCTGACTCTTTCAGTGTCTGTCTCTCTTTCTCCACTCTTTTTTCTCTTATTCATCTATCTCCATCACGCTTTAATTATTACGTTACTCCCCCCCCCCATTGCTCCCTTCCGTGTCCAGCTGATTCGCCTTCTCTGCTATCACGAAAATAACATTGGGTATATTTTCTTAGCGTGTCTTCCGTCTTGCTTTTCTCTCCCCCTTCCCCTCTTTTCCTTCTTCCCCTCTCCCACTCTTCTCCTCTTCCCCTCTTTCAGGTCGTTCTCCTTTCGCTCCCCTCCCTTCCCAAGACACCCATTGCCCCACTTAAAAAAAAACAAACCTACTTTATTGCTTCCCCTTTCTCCTCGTCCTATTGTTGTCCCCTTCACCTCTCTTCTAGGACAATCTTCTCCTCACTGCTCTGCTCCCCTCTTTCCCTCACGTACTCGTAACCGGCCTATGAATAAAAAAAATAACCGAATTCCCACTACTTTACCGATCGGATTGGTTTCACTAGTTCGGGTCGGCGGAGACGTAACCTCCATTGCCTGCAGACAAAGGCTTTCGAGAACGATCCTGGAATGCGTCTCGGACTTGTTTCTTGGAGCTAGAGTTTTTGGTCTTATTCTATCGGATTTATATTTATCATTTGTATTATTTTTCTCTGTTTTTTTTGCCAAGCTTATTATGTCAGCTCGTGTTTGATTATTTATTGAAGCTGCATTGACTAGTGGAGAGGCAAGATTCGAAGCAAAAACTGTTTGTATATTATAGAGAATAAGAATGGGACACCACCACACACACACACACACACACACACACACACACACACACAACACACCACACACACACACACACACACACACACACACAACACACACCACACACACACAGCAGGCAGCACATAGATATACACACGGTTTGCGTGCAGATAAGTCATACAGATAGATGTAAATATTTAAATAGATATATGACAGGTGACATATATACAAAACATAATACAGTACTAACAGGCAGACAGACGGACACAACGGCAAATTGACAGACAGACAGATAGATAGACAAAATAGATCGACATAATGACAAATATTGTAACCATAAAAATAATAAGAATAAGTTATAGATAGGCAGATTAGATACATGAAGAAGGGAAGATAGATCGATAGACAGATAAATAGATAAGTAGACAGACAAATAGATATATAAGAATATAGACAGACAGATTGAAGATAGACAGACATATACATATAGACAGACAATCAGAAGACAGACAGCTAGATAGATAGACAGACAAGCGGATAGATTGATGGATAACTAAGATAGAATAAATGGACACAGAGAAACAAACATATAGATCGATCGATAGATAGATAAATACAGACTGACAGACAAACAGTAAGAGGCAAATAGACAGAGGAATAGACAGATAAACAGAGGAAGTAAGCTGAGCGCACGAGACCCAGCCTCAATTTCCCAAGTCAAGTCCACTTCAAGAATCCCGCAACACGAAAGATGGCGCTTCTGTTTTTTCCGCCATTTTTTTCTTCTTCTTCTTCTCTGACTTTCCCTCTTCCTTTTAAGAGGTTCTGACGAAGGAGCAGGCGGAGGAGGATAACACCCGGCCGTGGAATCTGGCTAAATTCCCTCTTTAAATAGTCTTTTGAGTGGTTTTTGAGAGGAGACTAAGGAGCAGGGGGGAGAGGGGTGGGGTTAGAAGAGGGGGGGAGGAGGAGGTAAAGGGGGGAGGGGGGAGGTTTGGGAAGGTGGAAGGAGGAGGTTAAGGGGTAAGGAGAGAGGAGGGAGAGGAAGTAAAGGGAGATGGGGGATGGGGGAAGGGGAAGAGGTAAAAGGCAGGGAGATAAGAGGGTAAGGAGAGGGAGGGAAAGATTAAAAGGATGGGAGGAAAAGGAAAGGAGTTAGGATAAGGAGAGAGAAGAGAGGGAAGTAAAGGATGAATAGGATAGGGGAAGGGGAAAGAGGTAAAAGGGAGGGAAGGGGAAGGGAAGGGAAGGTTAGGAGGAGGAAGATGAAATTAAAGAGGGAATGAGCATGATGGTCAGGAATATTAGATAAGGGGAGATAGAGAGCTGAAGACATAAATAAAGGAGATCCAAGATAAGGAAATAAAAGAGGAAGGATTTAAAGGAAGGGGAGAAGGAGTTAAAAAGGACATAAAGGGAGAGGAGAGAAGAGGGCGAGGGCGAAAAGATAAGGAGTTAAAAGGGAGGAGAAAGAGAGAGAGGGACTCGGCGAGAAGGAGTTAAAGAGAAGAAAAAAAAAGAGAGGGAGAAGAAGGGAGGAGAGGCGAAGGGGAGTAGGAGTTAAAAGGGAGAGGGAGAAGGGAGAGAGGCGAAGAGGAGGGGAGAAGGTAGGGGGGCGAAGGGAGAAGGAGTTAAAAGGGAGGAGGGGAGAAGGGAGGAGGGGCGAAGGGAGTAGGAGGGCAATGAGAGCAAGAATGAGGATCTTGAATAGCTGGAAGAATGCATGTCTTAGAAGGTCGAGATGAAAGACGGTGCTTTTTTGAGGACTTGCGGAAGCGGCGAGAGGGAAGTGCTCAGACTTTTTTTTTTTTTTTTGATGATGATGCTTGTTATTTTTTCTTCGTCCTCTTTTGACTTTTTATTTTTGTGTATTATTATTTTTTGAAGTTTTGGTTGTTATTTTTTCTTCGTCCTTTTTGATGTTGTGCTTTTTAATTTTTTTTTATTTTTGTGTATTATTATTTTTTGTTGTGGTTGTTATTTTTTCTTCGTCCTTTTTTGACTGTGTGCTTTTTATCTTTTTATTTTTGTGTATTATTATTTTTTGAAGTTGTGGTTATTTTTTTGTGTATTATTATTCTTTGAAGTTGTGGTTATTTTTTTTTTCTTTGCGTTTTGAGGTTGGGTAGGAGGGAGGAGGTATATTATCATTTATGATCATTATCATTATTGTTATTGTCATCTCATTACTGCTATTAGCATGACTGTAATTACCATCATTCCATTATCATTAGCATTATTAATACAGATACCATAACTCACCAAATCCTTCGTTTTTTAAATATTTTTACCAACTTCCTTATATCTAAGTTGAAAGTACTCTCCATTTTTACCAGATACTCATTTTTTTCCACTCATTTTTTCCACTTTATTTTCGTTCAGACTTGGAGGGAAAATGGGTTCTTGACACGTTGCCCGACATACTGATGTGTTCTTATCAACAAGTGGCTGAAGAAGTAGTGGTAAACAACCTTCGAAAAACAAGTGTGTTTTGGGGGAATACGAGACACCGCTGGGTCAAAATAATGGGTACTTTATGTATGGAGAATGTCTAGTAGCTTTTTATTTGTATTATTTATTTTCTTTTTGTAGTTTATTATCATTTTTTAAAGGAAGGGAAATAAATGCGGGAGGTCGGTTCCATTCATAGAAATTGAATCAAGAAAGACAGTTCGATAAATCGATTTACTAAAAGCTTCTTTCACGCTTTTATCTGATTATGTACATTGAATTACAAAAAAAAAGTCGCAAAGAAAGAGATAATAGCATTTTCGTCCCGTGCCTTCGTTCTAGAATAATTAATTTGGGTCCAATTTAGAATTATGGCGCCATTTTCTTCGCGAATTACTGCTGGTAATTAAGGTATCTTTACGGCTGGTAAAACACGATCACGTGATGGCGCGAAAATTGAAAAACATTATATATACATATATGTCGTTATTTCGCCTCTGATTTATCGTTGCTAATGTGTATTTTTCTTGCAATTGCAGGTGAGTGAAGCAGGCATTGGTCGATTGCAAAGGAAGAATGTACCAATCACCATTATGGCAACGATGCAGTAAGTCCCACTAATACAGAGAGGTGGTTTGTAATTTCGATAAAAGGACAGGAATTTGAAAAGTGCATATTACAGGGCAATGCCATTTTTTGTCTTCTTTTTAGTCGATTATTCTGGTGTTTTTGGTTATCACTGTTTTATTTATTTATTAGTTAACTATCTTTGTCTTCTTTTTAGTCGATTATTCTGGTGTTTTGGTTATCACTGTTTTGTTTATTTATTAGTTGACTATCTTTGTCTTCTTTTTAGTCGATTATTCTGGTGTTTTTGGGGTATCATTGTTTTATTTATTTATTAGTTGACTCATTTTTTTTATCCTGGATTATTTTATTATTTGATGTGGCAGGTTTTATACTCTTTCTCCAAGGTTCTGTTTTTTTTTCTGTTATGTCCTCGTTCTTTTATATTACGTAGCGTGTGTACATGTTAACTTCTATTCTTATTTGTGCGTTATATTTCAGTTCTTTTATATAACGAGGCATTTTATATAATTGTTCCTCGTTCTTGATGGTTTCTGTCTGTTTTTTTTTTTCATTATATATGTATATATTTTTTTCCAAAATGTAGCTTTTTGCATGAATGTTCAGTTCTCCAAGATTCTTTCGTATCATTCACGTTATATCCCATTTATTTCGAAGAACATAGTTGTGCCATATACTTGTTCTCCCTCGTTATTTGTTTTAATGTTCCTCACGATTTCATAACCACCTTCGTTTTTTTTTACAAAATTATTACCTGTTCTTCAAAATAACCGAAGTGTTATGCTTTTCGCTCTGTTCTCCCGTTCACGCTTTGTCCTCTGTGACCTAATATGACCTTGCCAGAGGTTGTTTCGTGACCTCTTCGACTCCTGTTTGGCATGACGTGACAGACGCTATCACTCGACTGGTCCTTCGAGAATGATCTTTCATTTTTGGTTCATGCGATTTAAGAATAATTATTGTAGTTTGTATGTGTTATATATATCTTAGTTTGTTTATTATTTCATTAGTTATTTTACTTATGTATGTATTTATATGCCAATCAGTCTATCCATCTGTCTGTCTGCCTGCCTGTCTGTCTGTCCATCCATCTATTTATCTTTATCTATCTATCTATCTACCTATCTGCCTAACCTTCCTACCTGTCTAACTACCTATCTACCTACCTGCTTACCTATCTACCTACCTGTCTACCTATCTACCTACATGCCTACCCATCTACCTACCTGTTTACTTATCTACCTACCAGTCTTTCTACCTACCTACCTATCTATCTACCTACCTACATACCTATCTATCTATCTATCTGTCTGTCTATCTATCTATCTATCTATCTATCTATCTATCTATCTATCTATCTATCTATCTATCTATCTATCTATCTATCTATCTACTATCTATCTATCTGAATGCAACTTGTCCGAATAGCAGTAATGAATATAATTTTTTTATCTTATCAACACTAACCTGTCAAATATCAGGGAATAGTTATCAGATTATTATGACCAACCTGTCAATTATCATATAGTTATGATCACCAACCTGTTATCAGATAATGATTATTATGTACGTGTCAATTATCAAATAATGACACTGTCAGTTATCATATGGATATGGTCACTAGCCTGTCAACACCGATAGATTACGAAAAAGAGAAGAATAGGGAAGTAGAAACAGGTGGGGAGAAGAGAAAGGGGAGAGAAGCAGGAAAATAGAATATCCTGATGGGGAAATACGAAAAAGGAGAAAAGAATAAATAACGGAGAATTAAGAAACAAGGTAAATTAGGAAACACGATCAAATAAAAAAAGCAAAACAAAACAAAACATAATAATGATAATGATAATCAAAATGATAATAATAGTAATAATGATAATAGTAATAATA